TCGAAAACATCCTCCAAGAGCACCTTGTCCCAACCATCCAAGAACAGTCTGGTGACGAACAATGCCTTTTCCAGCACGATGGAACACCTTGCCATAAGGCAAAAGTGATAACTAAGTGGCTTGGGGATCACAACATCGAGATTTTGGGTCCATGGCCAGGAAATTCCCCAGGCCTTAATCCCATTGAGAACTTGTGGTCAATCCTCAAGAGGCGGGTGAACAAACAAAAGCCCATGAATTCTGACAAACTCCAAGCATTGATTATGCAAGAATGGGCTGCCATCAGTCAGGTTGTGGCCAAGAAGTTGACTGACAGCATGCCAGGGCGAATTGCAGAGGTCTTGAAAAAGAAGGGTCAACACTGCAAATATTGACTCTTTGCATAAACTTAATGTAACTCTCAATAAAAGCCTTTGACACTTATGCAAATGCTTGTACTTATACTTCAGTATACCATTATAACATCTGCACAGAGATCTTCCAACACTGGAGCAGCAGACCTTGTGAGAATTAATCTTTGTGTCATTCTCAAAACTTTTGGCCACTGGTGTAGTTTGGACGGAATGGAGATCCCTCCCTGCTCCCACTCTCTCTCGCGTCGATCTTGGTCTGCAACCTGTTTCCAAGCTCCCTAATTCCGCCCTGCTCTCTGTCCTTCCTAGACTCCTCCCCCCGCTTAATCCGTGTTTGCTACAGTTCTGTGTCCGAGGCCGGTCCGGGGCTGCCGCACTTCTCAGCCATGGGATATGTGGACGACCAGCTCATCGCTCGCTATGAAAGCCAGACCAAGAAGTTGCATCCTCGAGTTTCCTGGATGAATACACTGGAGAAGGAAGATCCCGAATTCTGCGAAAGGTACACCCGGATTTTGAAGAAAGATGAGAAGGACTTCCAGGAGAATGTATGGATGCTCCAGAGACACTATAACCAAAGTGGAGGTGAGTGAGGACTGGGCGGGACACGGATGCCATCCTGAAGGGCATGAAGACCGAGGGGAGACCTCCATTGAACTCCTCAGTGTCTCTGCACCTGGCCCTACCCCCGCGTGCATTCCCAGGTACAGTCTGTGCCGTACTGTGCATCTTACTGTTTCGTATACTAAAAGTTCATGCACTGGCATTAGCTTGGTTCAATGTATACAAGTGAGTAGCACACGCATCTTCTAAATAAACAAATAAAAACTCGGAAATTGGCCTGTGTGTTGTGAGCACACTCACAAAATGGCTGCCAGGGTAACTTCTTCACAGATGGTTGGCATGAGGGAGGTGCTGCCTTCTTGAAGCCAAGAAAGTGCTTTGGAACAGGTGGTGCGTCTGTGTGAGAGCACCTGTTGGGGTTCCTTAAACAAGCTGCATTTTTTCAGGGCTCACTTGCTAACCGCCTAGTCTTGGGAAAATATGTAGCACCAATAGTGTGCCCACACTGGCTCTGAAGCCAGCCTGCCTCCCTCCCTCCTGTTTCCCCCCCAAATTGTTGTCTTCCACCTGCCCCCCCCCAAGCAAAGAGAGGAAAGCCAGTTTGCTCCAGCTGATTCTTTGCCTGTCTTCTCTTCTGTTGCATTATAAGAAATAACACCGTTTTCACCCGTCGACTTGTGTGGCTCTAAGAGACTATGGGAAAATTGCGAGTGACTCATCTGAAAGTGATCTCAGTAAAGGCAACTTCGCCCCAGTGCTGGGAGATGTGGGAAAAGCACCTCCAAGAGACCCTGTCTTAATTAAGGAATCTTGGACTCTGTACGAGGAATTTCCCAGCCTCATTTTGGGTTAGAGGCTGCAGATTGATCTTACAGGGTCCAAGATTCTGTCTTGACCCCGGCTGGCCTCCAAGATCCCTTCCTGTAATCTGTAATCCATGTCTTCCTTGCTTTCTTGGCCTGGAGCCCCAGCAGAGAGCGGCGTTCCCTGATTTCTTAGAGAACGTTTCCCCCTAAACTTGGGGGTGCTTCTTTCAGGGTTTCACATCGTACAGATGATGATACTCTGCGAAGTGTGGGAAGACAGGAGCAGAAGTGGGCACTGGCAATACGGTTACGACGGGCGGGATTTCCTCAGCTTCAACATGGAGACCCTCGCCTGGACAGCAGCCGATAAAGAAGCCCAGGTAACCAAGCGGAGCTGGGAGACGGAAACCGCCATCCTTCAGCGCTTCAAGGGTTACCTGGAGAGCACCTGCACAGAGCTGCTGCAGAAGGACAACCGCTATGGATTGGGGCAATTCTCGAGGAAAGGTACGGAGAAATGGCCAAGGAGAGAGCTGTGGGTGCTGCATCTGCTAATCCACGCACGGCTTAAATGCTGCGAGTGTTCTCTGGGTAGGGTCAGGCTCCGCAAAAACGTCTCCTGTTCCTTGCTTGCGGGCAAAAAATGGGCCGGACAACCCAGCTGGCTTGTTTTCGGCTGGTCATTGTCAGTCAAGAGCAGATTGGTTGCAGCCTGTTGCTGCCGCCTGCTTTTTGCTGTCTCTGATATTTTAAAAAAATCAGTCCCTAGAAGTGGAAGGGTAGTGACAACCTTGCAAGGTAGTCCAGATAGGAAGCATGGCCAGAAGAGCTCGTTCTAGTTTATGGTGAGGTTACATTAACAGAATCTTGCAAGTCTGAAAGTACATTTCTCCCCCGTTCCCTTTACACCCCCAGAAACTAGGGAGGTTCCCCTCTTAGATGCTTGCTCTGCCCATGTTCCTGTTGCGGACTGAGTTGCCATGTTTCTGAACGTTCCCTTGGCTGTGGCTCTTCTTCCTATCTCCTAAGGCCATTCCCACATGCCAGAACAGAGAGTATCAAATCATCAGGGCTTTCCAGCTTGGCTTCTCTTTGCATGGAATTTTCTCTTGGAGTGGGGGAGTATTCAGTAATACACAAAGCTCTTGGAAAACTTCTGTGAGTTCTCTTGTTTGCTTGTATTGCACTTAGAATACCTGCATGTTAAATAAAAATGCTTTTACGGCTGTTTGTCTGGCTGAAAGAAGCTGTTCAAAGCAGCTCGGAGTTGTTGACAGACTCCCACACTGATCTCTGGGGAGGCACTGCTTTGACCCCAGCGTCCCCCTTTTTTTGCAGTGCCCCCCGTGGTGACAGTGAGCAGCAAGAGAAAGACCGAGGACACGGAAATCCTCGTCTGCCAAGCATATGGCTTCTACCCCAAGGAGCTCGACGCCACCTGGTGGAGGGACGGGGAGACTTTGGAACATGAGACCCTGCGGGGATTTCTTGCCCCCAACTCAGATGAGACGTTTTATATCTGGCTCAGCATCCAGGTTGATCCCAAGGAGAAGTACCAGTACCGATGTCACGTGGAACACGATGCCCTGCCGGAGGCCCTGTCAGTGGGCCTGAAAGGTGAGAAATTGCAGGGAGGGAAAAGTTTTGGCTTCTTTCTCTTTGGAGAATTGGGGGAGATAAATGATGCCCAGATATTAACTTATTTTGGCATTATACCCTTTTACAGTTTGTGGGTTAAAAGTCCAGACAACCTGCTTGGAGTTCCTGTATATACCCTCTGCGGATAAGCCGACCCTCGAATTTTTAATCAAAATACCGTGAAAAATGTGCCACCTGGGGATAAGCTGACCTGCATTTTTCGTGGTATTTTGGTTAAAGATTTGAGGGTTGGCTTATCCACGGATGGGCTTATCTGCGAGTATATATGGGAGATACAGGTGTTTTAAAAAAGTACTACCTATAGACTCGCAGATAAGCCCATCCGCGGATAAGCTGAACCTAATTTTTTGGGGTGCATTTTGGAACCTAAAATTCCCAGTTAATCTAAAAGTCTATATGGTATTTAAAGAAAGCTCCAGTATTGCATCACCCCAACAGGCCAATTACATTAGGAAACGCTTAGATTCTCTTAGGCTCTCTTAGTTCTGTTGCACCCCAGTTCACTGTCCCCAACACAGCAGTAGTCATAATGAACACATGTTTCTTTGTTTTCTTTTTACATGTAGAGTTCCTGAAATTCAAAATACAGTACGGTCCTTTGTTGATCTAAAAAAGTCTGTACAGGTTATTATGTAGTCAGTAATTTGCTCATAACTTCCACTGACTTTTTTTACTGGACTTGCGTAACTACAGAGAATGACTCTGGAAATAGCATCACTGGATCCATACTTATCCGGTATTTAGATGACGCCTTTGTTATAATAAAAAAGGAGCAACTAGAGAAGACACATGAAACCGTCAACATCTTCAAAGGAATAATATTCACCAGAGAGGAAGAGAACAACAACACGCTACCCTTCCTGGATATCCTCATCAGCAGAGGAAACAACAGCAAACTAGAAACCCAAGCCTATTGGAAGACAAGCCACACTAATCAAGTACTCCATTACCAAAGGAACAACCCAACCTCCTACAAGAGGAGCTGTGTAAGAACATTATTCAAGTGAGCACAA